TTTTCTTCTCTGAACTTGTCCGGGCATCTTCTGTGTTGTTTTGGCCTGAGCTTGGTAAGTTGGTGCTGATTGGCTCAGAGGTAGTTGCAGTTGGGTGACACCTTTTCTTCAGCTGAGTGGTGTTAGCATAAATGCCCTCATTTGTTTTGTTGAGTTCCTACAAATCAAAAGAAATGTTGGTTGTAAGGTTATTCTGCTTATTTAAGTGACACTAAGTAGAAAACTGTTGGATTCCAAGGTAAAGTACCTCATCTCCTTTTCCACTTGGTAGATGTTGGCTCATAGCAACTGTGCTGGCGTTACCTGACCCTGACTCTTAAGCAGGTTGTGTTGAGTCCTCTGAGCCCTGAAAAAACCAGCAGAGTATAAACCTACAAGAATATACTGAAATATCTTTGTTTTTCCCTAGTCTAAAGTTGAGAAAAAACTCAGGGAACAGTCCATATTTAGTTATTTTAACACTGGTAACAGATCACAGGATCACAGCGTCTGCAGGAAAATGATGTCAACATGTTGTGCCGAGTGTGGCGAGCATTAGCAGTACTAGCATTAGCAGTACTAGCACTGCCAGCCTTTGGTCCTCCTTGCAGGTTTACTTCCACATGTCTGTGCTTTTTACGCATTGCTCTGGTCAAGATACACCACTTTAACACGAGACAGCCTACATACAACTTTACTCCATTTTCTAGATCAAAATACAGTCAAACCTCTTTTGCTATGACATGCCACTTGTCTACTATGCTGGTTTACATCCTAGGTAGTAGAGCATTAGTGCCTGTCTATAGCTTTGGCTGGTGGGGCAGCATTTCAGCATCAACATTCTTATGTGTGCATGTGCAAAGGTCACAGTACAGGACATACTCTGTCAAGTAGAGGAAATATTCATGATTACTTCATGCCATAACTTTTTTGTTGCAACATACTGGAGCAAAACTCGCAGGTTTTCCACTCGGACTTCGCTACAGCTGCCTGCAAACATGGGGCTTATTGAGAAGCTGCAAACTGTATCACAGCACACCAATCAGTAAAGAACAGTAAAACACCACATAATGAACCACCTGTGGGCATCCTCTCTTCAGAGTAAGGTTATCAACATTTTTTTCATAATTTGATACTTTCGACCTCTTTTAAACAATACTTTCCAAATCTCCTTTATTCTAATGATCGATAGTACCCAAAAGTACACAAAGCTTTAAATAACTACATATCTTCAGTCATATTTAATCCCAAAGTTGCTTTGAGCAAAAAAGAGAGTAAGAGATCAGCGTACATCTGAAATTCACAGATCAGCAAATACTGATGTTTCTCCAGTCCTTTAGGTGTCTCATAAAGCTGCATATTCATGTTTATGTCTCACAAACAGACGCAGAGCAGAGGACACTATAAATAACACAAATACATTGGCAACATTTTCGATCCACAACATTTGATTGAAATTGTGGGCCTCAATTGAAAAATATTAATTACCTGGATAAGACTTTGCTCATAATACCAAAAAATATTAAACATTTCAAAGATTTTAAATTGAAGACCAGAGGAACACCACATAGAATCTGTATCTTCACTCAAATAAAGAATATAAAATTCCAAGTGGAGGTTTTTAAACATTTTGCATAGTGGTATTCTGTACGGTTTGGCTTGATTTGCTGTTACCCTACCTGATAACAAAGAGTAGAGCACATACTAGCACCAGGAAGACGACAATGGTGGCGATGAAGACTGGCAAAATCACTGAAAAATACAAAGGACAATAAGGGATTATGGTTCAAGCTCTTATTCAGAAGAGATTATTATTTGAATAAATTCGGACATCACGTATTAATTATTCATTTTGTAAATTGTTAAATCAGGACATATTAAAGCTTTCAAGAGGAATTTATGTTCACCACTTACCCATTCATAAAGCTTTCTTGTTAATACTTAGTAATTATGAGAACAAATGATGAAATGTGCCGCTTACCAATAAGTTATACTCAGTTCAGAGACAAACCTTGACTTTCTGCAGATGTTGGAAGGCTGTAGAAAATAAATCGCTGAGCAACAGATCCCAGAGAGTTTGAGCTGCGACAAAGCACAGTGAAGTGATCCTTCCTTTGGGCTTGACTCATGGTGATGAAGCTCACGCCTGTACCATTTCGATGCTCATAACTGACTGCAAACTCTTCTGAGTGATTGACAGCTAACCCATCCAAACTCCATTGTAAAGTGGGAGGAGGATTTCCCGTAGACTCACAGGAACAGTTGACCTGGTTAGCAGTTTTGGTGCAATCAGATGAGGACATGATCTGTGGAGCATCTGTAATGGATGTAGGGAAGAGAGACAAGTAGAGAGTCAAGTAAAGCCATGCTGTATCAAATTTGAAAAAGTAAAAGATAAGGCTTATGGCTGTAAAAAAAAAAGAAAAAAAGTTGACCAGCTGTGCGTGTCCAAGTGAATGAGGCAAAGAAAAATTCAATTTCCTCCATGTCAATCGGTTTTCATTCTGGGCCTGTGTCCACAGAGGGCGCTTTTAACGCTGGCAGCGCCTATTTTCAATACAAAACCAATGTAGTTCAGTGTTTTCAGCACTCATAAGTTTCTTGAGGCCGCATTCACTCAGCTCTCAGTTGAAAACAATTCCACTTATGGAACAGCACTACGCTCTTCTATGTCACATCTCCATAACCAACCTATGGCGTTTTATCCCAGCCAATAAAATTGCGTGCGGACGAGATCCATGTGCGAATTTAAAGGAGCTGTGCGTGCAACTCAAACAGCCACACGCATATTATTTTTGTGAGCACTTGCACAGCATTCACTTGCAGAATTTATCTGCTCGCGCGAGCAATATTGTATCCTGCAAGGAGAAAACCATGCTTTGAGCACGAGCAAAATCTCACCCTGAGCGCGTAACTACAGTGCTCTCTGGGATTTTTCTTTTTGCCCTCAAAGCATGGTTTTGTCCTCTCAGGATACAATATTGCTCGCGCAAGCAATTTCATTTGAATGATTGTAATTTTACTTGATATGCACATTCTTACTAAGCAGACCTTTTTGGGGGTAAAGTTAACATTTGCTCGTCTCTAATTTAATTATAGAACCTCATATATAACACAGTGTTTCCCCTACCATTCAGGTCGTTCAGGGTGGATTACCCAAAGTGATCTCCCACCACCCTAAAAGAAAGGCACTAAATACTTTATCTATGTAAACTATCCATCCATCCATTATCTATAACTCTTTTCTCCCTTTATTTACAACAAAGTTAATCCTCTACAAAAGAAAGATTTTATGGATTTGAAGTTTCCAATCAAAGGAAATTAAAGTAAACAAAGAGATTTTCATACATTTTTTAAAATGTAACTGATGAATGACACCTACAATGTACATCTATTTGTCTTGTGTTTGATTGAAAACTTCCCAGTTCATTTTCAGCCTTGCAGAAAAACGGGCCTCTCTTTCAAGAAGCTTATTAACAAAGATTATTTACATTCCTCATTTGTAAAACGCTGCACAAAAGAAGCCTGACCTACCTGCATTTATGCAAATGTTTCAAACGATACCTACACTGAACATCCATCTGTGTGTTGTTCGATCTTCCACTTCCCTCTTCATTTTCAGCCTTGCAGAAAAAAGGTCCTCTCTCCCTAGAAGCTTTGATGTTTAAAACACGTCCAGTCCCCATGAAAGTCTCCTGGCCTCCATCAGCTCTGTACCAGGTGTAGTTCTTTACAGCTGGGTTTGCATTAGCACTGCAAGTCAGTGTCACATTTGTGTCTTCTTGCACTGGACCAGAGGGACTGACTGACACTGTGGTCCCTTTGGGTGAATCTGAAAAGAAAAAAAAAAGTTGTATTTTTTGAATATGTAGTTTATTTGTGATGACTACAATTGTAGTTTTGTGTTTGTGTGGCATTTTGAATATAAAGTCAGAACTTTGATCTGCTACATGAAGTCTGCTCGGTGTATAGTAGGCTTTTATTGTGGTAGAGAACATCAGCGTGCACTGCCCATCATATCAGGATTTGTTTTTAGGCTTCGGTGCGCAACTTTATTTACCCGACCAAAGTGAAATACAGGAGAATGATAATCCGTAACATTACCTGCAGGCAGGGCTAACACTCTGTTAGGAACGCACATCAAGACAACAGGTGATACAAAACAGTACTCACAGAGCAACGCGCGACATGAGTCACCGTTAAACTGGACCGTTTGACAACACAATTCTAACATGTCTTATTAGCTTAACAAGCTATCACTAGTTTTCTCTGATACATTTAACGACTGAGTGGGTGAAAGTTATGAAGTACAGTACTACATTAGTGCTGTACACATTTTAAAAAGAAAAAAACTTCTTACTCCACTGAATTTATAGAAAATGTTCAGTTTGTTTGCTAGTTGCTTCTCAGATTCAGATTTATGATGTCAAAATATCTTTATGTGCCCTGCTGGCTATATATGTAAATAAATAAATATGCCTATATATTTTTTATTACTCTTTACTTTAACTTAACTTAGTAACTTAACTTTATCTAGGCATACAATGCATTTGACATTGGTCATATTTGTCAAAAAGAAGCAAGGCCATATCTGTCAGTCTAGATTTTGAGCTTTTTATACCTAGATCAAAAACACCAATTGAAATTGGTTATTTGTTGTTTTATACGTTGAGAATTTTCAGACAACGTTTTTTGCTTTAATCCCTGTTATTAACACAACATGAATATTAGGCTGTCCCAGACGATGTGCTTATCTCCTGATTTCATATTACCCTTTATTTGGTTACTGATTTTTTTCATGTGATTCTAAAACATGTCAGGCAATCCTTGATGACATTGCCCCTTTCAGAATAAATCAAGCCAAACAAAACGCTCTTCCCTTGCTTCCCTTCCAAATCTCCACCAATGCCCACTTGTTATCTGCAGGGTCATCAGCTGGGGTCTACCGCTCGTAGATGATTTGCACCTTAACCCAGAACATCTCCAGTTGAGTTCTTGTTCAATTTGAATCCTCCTGGACTTTAGCTTTGCTTTAATACGAAAGACTATGATATCCTCCTGAATTTCCTGAAAGAGTACATTGGCATTAAAAACACTGCTCTGTACTGGTTTCAATCTTATTTATCTGGCAGATCTTTCTGTTTCGGCGATACAATTTTCCCCATCCCCTTTCCACCTCACATTTGGTGTTCCCCAAGGGTCAATTCTCAGTCTATTATTTGCTCTGGTAATGGGCACCTCTGGGAAAATGTTCAATATGTTCAAATACACTGCAAACCCAAAGTTTCCCCCACAACTGATTTTAAAAACTAGCTCTAGGTCTTCTACCTTTGCTGTGTACAATATTACTTTTTATTTTTCTTTGTTTTCTTGTGTCTGCTACTTCCTTTTGTTTGTTAAGGAAAAAATCAATAGCTTATAGTCTGGAGCATTACTGGAAAGTGGATTAGGGTGTGAATACTGCCATGAGGGATTGCCTTTTTTCTCCACTCAGTCGTCTTTGTCTTATCACTGCATGTACTGAACCATGAGGTGGTACAAATACCATTTCAGGCCTTCTAACTATCATAAAATCCAAACTGGTGAGTAATGAGAAAATTCACTCCGCTTACAATGTGAGTCGATAAAGACAATAACTTATCAGAACAAAATATATTTTTTACCAGGCCATAAACATGTCCATTTCTGCTGTCACAATGGACATTATAATACGGGGTGTGTATGGGACTTCTGGTTCTTTTTTCTTCTGCATCAGTTCCATTTTTTTTACCTGTGTTCATGCAAATTTTCAAACAATACCTACACTGAACATCCATCTGTGTGTTGTTCGATCTTCCACTTCCCTCTTCATTTGCTGCCGGCAGAAAAAAGGTCCTCTCTCCTAGAAGCTTTGATGTTTAAAACACGTCCAGTCCCCATGAAAGTCTCCTGGCCTCCATCAGCTCTGTACCAGGTGTAGTTCTTTACAGCTGGGTTTGCATTAGCACTGCAAGTCAGTGTCACATTTGTGTCTTCTTGCACTGGACCAGAGGGACTGACTGACACTGTGGTCCCTTTGGGTGAATCTGAAAAGAGAAAAAATAAAGTTGTATTTTTTGAATATATAGTTTATTTGTGATGAGGGATAGAGAATGTTATGCCTTTATCCTGAACAAGCCCTGCTAAACATCAATAGAAACAGCTAGTAGGACCAGTGTTGGGCTGTAACGTATCACTAGTAACGCGTTACAGTAATGATATTACTTTTACAAGTAACGAGTAGTGTAACGAATTACTAATGAAATTCCAGTAATAATATTACAGTTATCCACACAAAAAAAAAAAACTTGTTACTACATTACTGTTGTTGTTATTACCCCACTTCAGATTTATGCAACAAACCCCAGATTAATTTTGTTGCGCATCTCAGACAAGCAGGAAGGTAGCGAGCTTCATGGTTGCCAGATATGCGGATTTGGGCTTTTTTTTAGGTGCCGCCAGAGGTAGTTTTTTTTTGGCCATTGGGCTTGTTTTGTCATTTGTTGTCACACATACCTGGCAACCCTGGCTAGCTTGAAAGATGGAAGTTTACATTCAGTGGCTTGAAAAATTCCCATTACTTAAGTTTTGTCGACAGGAAAGATAACAAGAACATCACTGTCAAATGTAAATTGTGTCCCAGTACCAGGACTCTTTATACTGTAAAAAACAAGACTTCAAAACTCCTTAAGCACTTACAACATCTGACGACAACACAACAACATGAAGCTCGTGTAAATAAACCCACCAATGAGCTGTGGAGGACAGCTGTAGCCCTACAATGTCTACAAATCAACCAAGACTGGATTTTAATCGAGCACAGCTAAAAGCGAAAAAGAACTAATGAAAGTTGTGGCTTATATAACAAGTAGTGTAACATATTACTGATGGCAGGGAGTAATAAGTAAAGTAATTAAAGTACTTAAAGAGTAATGAGTAATATATTCCTTTTTTTATAATAACG